TGTCTCAGCACACCCCTGGGGCAGGGCCAGCACGCCAGGCCAGGGGATCGAACTCCGGGCCTCTCCGTCTGCCTAAGCAGGCACTTTAATCCGCTGAGCTATTTGGCCAGCCCTGAGCACAATTTCTCTAAATCAGTTGAAGCAGGGCGACACCATGCCTGACTAGTCTCCCAAAAGCATCATGAAGTTTATGAGTAATTTCAATTGAAGAACTCTAGGTAGGAATCTTGGAGAACATGATTGATAAAAGTGTCCAATCCTAGTCCCAGGATGTCCTAAGCCTTAATTTAAGAGTAAATGGTGTGGAGCTTACTTGTCAATATCTGGGAGCAGAAGAGATTGAGAAGATCAAGGAAGAGAGGTCTGGCTTTCCATGCACTCAGGGGCTCTTCAGTGAAAGTTTCTTTTCTGCTGCTGAATAATTTTTGGGAAAGGGAAATTGCTGCAAGGCTTGGGAAGGAGGAAAAGGCTTTTTTTTTTTTTTTTTTTTTTTGGTGGAACCAGGGATTGAACTCAGACCCTTGTGCTTACAAGGGAAGTGCTTATTCCACTGAGCCATCTCCCCAGCCCCAGGAAAAGGCATCTTGGCCTCATGGTGGGAACAGGATTTTCTTTAGATGAGGTTTTACTGCCATTCTTCCATATTACATCTTCTTCAATCTTTAAATCTCAAGAGCCTTCCTTCCAACTCGCCAGTCCTCTTGTCTCTGTGACTGAGCACTTTTAAAAGGGAACTAATATTTTTGGTGCTAGTATTTTCCATGCCCCCATCTCAGCTCCCAAGTCTCCTTAAAAAGGAGGTGGGACACTGCCACCAGGGTTAGGGATGTAGAAAAAAGAGGTAGGAGATGCCTAGGTGTGACAGGTGTGTTTGTCCAGTCTACAGGGATGGGAAAGGGAGGAAGAGACAAGAGAAGCAGCCTTGCATCCATCCTAGAAGCTGCAGAGTGCACACGAGTTCCTCAGTGTCACGCCCTCTCACAGCCCCTCTGACGGAAAGCAGCCCTGCACACTCCTCTGCTGCTTAGGAAGCCTTGTTTTCAGCAACTTCCCTGCCCACAATTGGTTGGTTGACACTGAGACAGAACAGTAAGAAACCCTGGGCCAGTCAGGTTCTCTCAGTAATTTTAAACAAGGAAAAACAACCAAATGGGACCTGAAAGGAGGTAGAGACACCAGACAGAGCCATCTGTAAGCTGAAGTTTTCAGTAACTGAACTTTCAGTGTGTAGGACAAGTCTTCTGGGAGTAGCTTGGGGCAGACTTGCAATGACATCAAGGTAAAGAACTTCTCGGGCCTCTTCCAAAAGGCTTTCTAATCCCATGTCACTCTGGCCCTAACAACACAGGTCACCTGTCCGAGGTTATTCAGACTCTTTTCCCAGATGAAGAGTCCAACTGTTCTCAAAAGCTGCACAAATTCCATGGAGGTAGGTTGCTTAGGGGGGACAAGAAGGCAGCTCTTAGCGAATATGGCCTACCACTATGGCTATTCAAGAAGCTGCCTGTGAAGCTGCCCGCCTACTGGAGATTAGGTTTCAGGCAGGAAATGGTGTGACCTAATTTCTCTCTTTGTTCTGATAACAGAGCAGACCCAAATTATGTGCAGGTCCTAAAGGAAAGGAAGTCGAGGCATCTACAAAGACCTGGTTTGGTCTTAGAAAGTCCCTTTTAAGTTGCTAAAACCCAGATCACAAATCTCTCTGACAAAAGGCTTTCAAACTATCTTTTCACCTAAAAAGAGCAAAGCATGGTGGCAGCCGTGTTGGTTCTCCAAGATCTCAGGAATCATTTCTCATCCCTGATTTCAGGACTCAGGAGGGCTGAATCGGAAGGAAAACCAAGAGCAGCTCTTGTCAGTACAAGACCTCATCTGTCATGTCCCCCAGCAAGGCTGCCGTTGGCACTTGACTGAAAACACACGGAGGCAGCCTGTGTAGATCAGGAATTCGTTACTGGAAGAATAAGGGAAAGCCTCCCCTTCCCCTGCCCCACTGGCTGCAGGGAGATTCTGGACAACTCAAAGTCAAATCTTAAACATATCACAAGTGACTGTGGCTCCCTGCAACCCATGATCCTTTCCCAGAGTTCTTAGTACCTGAGAGTGCTAAAAGCACCCACAACTAACTAGTCCTTTAAAAAAAGATAAAGAATCTGTAAACAAAAATGGGCTGTGAAAAAATTTTGTCCCCTCTCCTCAGCACTGCCCTGTAGGTCTTTGATAGATGTCAAGTAATCCAAGGGAAAAGGACATCTAAGAAGTGGATTCAAAAGAATGAAGCATTTGCCAGCCGCTGGGAAGGGCAACACATGCTAAGTGTGACAGTTGTGAGTGTTCAGTGACCCTCAGTTCTCCCTCTGTTCCCCATACGCTGAGTTCCAACTGTCAGTGCTTCCCTAAGTTAGGCATGGCCTTGTGATGTGATGCTGTGGCCAGGACAGTACAAGTGGTACATGTCAGTCCTGCTCTTTCTTAATCCCATTTATTGAAGAGGCGCCTCTGCTGCTAACCGCGAGTGCGCAGTGCTGAGCTCCCCAAGAGCAGCACGGCTGTGGCACTGCTGCCTTTGCACCGACTTTAAGTCACTGAGAGTTGAGTTGTTTCATGGGAAGCAAACTGAAATCTCTTCTGATTTATGTGCAGTGATTTATAGGTTTTCTCTCTTTGCAGATCTATTTGGAGTTCAGGAAAAAAAAAATCGTGCTTCACATCCTTGCTGAAATTCAGAGAAATAGGCAATGTGCTTTTCTCTCACACTTAGGATAGTGAGCTGAGAAGTGGGATGGGCTCCTTCCTTCTATCTGAGCAAAAGAAATTTTGAATTCCATAGGGGAATAAAGTGAAAAGAACAAAGTTCTTCCATAGACACAGGGAAAAAATGATACTTTATGGGCCAGGGAGATAGCTTAGTAGAATAAGCGCTTGCCTGGCAAGCACAAGGGCCTGAGTTCAATCCCTGGTTCCACAAAAATAAATAAATAAATAAATAAATAAATAAATAAATAAATAATTGACACTTCACAATAGTTGTAAGGCCATCGTTGCTACGCTAGCATGGGGTATTCTGTACCTTATCCTTTTCCTTGCTTCTCCCCCATTACCTAAATCTGTATCCTCCATTTGAAAAATTCATTTTTTGTCGATCCCGGTTTTACCAGGCAGGTGCTTGCACCACTGAACTGTCTCCCTGACCCTGATCCTGGTTTTACTAGACAAACTTTCACCATCCTTTTTCTGAGCAGTAACTTTTTATTCCTCATAACGCACAGCGTGAAAGGCTGTATGCAGGAGCTCAGTATCTCTGAGTTAATCCAGAAATCCTTCCCACTCCTTCCCAGGACTGCAGCCCTTCAACAGAAAAGTTAAGAGACTAGCACAATTTGGGTGACTGTGTTGGACACACACACACACACACACACACACACACACCCTTACCTCTAAATCGCAAGACCTTGGATTTGACCCTCAGTATATAACAAATAAAACCACAAACACCCCAAAACTCTGAATTGCATTATTAACTGCCTTTCAGTAAAATTGGCATGATGGGATGCCTCGCTAGCATGGCACGGGAGGATCAGCCGCCAGCTCAGAGGAAGAACACCACCTGTGTCTGCTTCCTGCCTGCCAGCTTTCCCTGGGGCAAGCTGTAATAGTGGTGGGAAACGTAGAAGAAGGGGTGAAGCCTCTGCTTTTTTCTCCTTCCAACTGTTCAGGCCCTCTGTTGCTGCTACTCAGGCTGCAAGATCCAACCACTAGCATCATTCTTTTATTTGGAAACCCTGCAATGAGCTGCTATACAATTGTGCATATAGTGTGTGCTGAGTACGTTAATTAATTGAGGGTGAAGAAGACAGGCCAAGCTGCTGTGAACAGAAACATTACCTGGGTGTAGAAGGGGCAAGGATGTCGAGGTGCGCACCTTCATTCCATCCTTTCCAGCAAGACAACAAAGCCCTCTTGCCCCAGTTCCTCACTGTGAGAAGAACGCTGTGTAGGTGCACCGAGTGAGGCTGCTGGCAGGATCCAGGTCGGTATAGGTGCTGTGCAAGGTGCCAGGGGGTGCATGAGGAAGCAGCACCAGGGGGCTGTCTTAGCATCGGGGTGTGCCGATGGCTGGGGGTGTGGGCTCAGAGGCTGGAGGACTGGGGGGTGGGGGCGGTGTCAGCCACTGGGGCAGGTAGAGCCCTGTCTTGGAATTTCTTGAGGTCATAAAGAGCATCAGGGAGGAAGACATATGGAGTTAGGACATGTACTCCTCTTGCTAAGATACTTCTGAGTGACTCATTGTAATATGCGAACTTTTTGATTTTTTTCCAAAGCTGTAGCACTGTGCCACTGACCCATCTCCCTGGCCCTGTTTTCTTCTTGGAAACCAACCACATTAATTGACTTCCAAAGACAGCCACAGGACAGCAGTACTCCCACAGATTCCCCCCCAAATAAACAGATAGACCCAGGAGCTGGTGCCAGTAGATACATTAACCGCCAGTGGGGTGCAACCCCATTTCTATTTGGCCATATGCTTGGGATCTGGAGCCTGAAACTGTCTGCCTCCATGTGTAAACTGACAAGCTGAGTGTCCCAACAGATGGAAAGACCAGCCAAGTTTTAAACATGAAATGAGACAAAGAAAGAGTAGTGGTCCTTGGGAGGTAAGGATTAAAGCAATGAGAGAGGATTCCAAAGCCAGCTTTAGCCAGAGAACCAGAATGCAAACAAGTGTTCCTTTCCTAAATTTGAAAAGGAAGGGACAGGAGAAATTTTTATCTTCTTCTCTAGACTAGGCACTATGGACAGAGATCTAGAAGAGCTGACCTTGGTCGGAATTTATTCTCCTGGCTTCTTGCCAGTTGTCCCAGGGGCTTATCTGCAGGCTCCAGGGTCACTGCATAACAGAAACTGTAGAAGAAAATGTATTATCTTCACCTCGCCCACTGCAATGATCATGCGTGAGGTCTTTATAACAAAAGGCAGATTAATAAGAAAAAAGCAAAACCCCCCAAAAGCATGTACATTTATTTGACATGAGTTTGCTATAGCAAGGGGACCCTCATAAATGAATGCTCAGAGACACAGGGCAGGCTGTGCAATCTCATGCTGAGGGTGGATGAGGATTGGACAGTCATGCAGAAGTGGGACTGGAAGACAGATGGGCATGAGCTCATGATAATAAATGGAGGCGTAGCAAGTCCTGTTTGTTCATATGCTTTTCTGCCTCCCTGTGTCTTCAGAGATAAGGACATTCCTTTCCTCTGGGTATAGGGAGGGCACCTCTGGAATGAAGGTTTTATGATCTGCTTCAGGGGAAGGACAGCTAGGTTTTATGACCTGCTTAGGGAGAGAGAGCCAGGAGATACTACTGACAGTTGCTTTTGCTATTTTCCTTTCTTTTGGGATAGCGTGCCCTGAGCCCCATCAATAACTTCTCGAATACTCTTTCACATCTGATGCAATTCATGCCATGAGAATTCATGGGAAATGTACATTTCATTAGTTTCAAAACTCAGCTTGATTTTTTTCATACATATTCTGGGGAGACCACAAGTTCTTCCTCCATCAGAGGGAGACACCTGGCCTTAGCCTCAAGAATTTGTTGTCCCACCACTTCCAGGCCTACACAGATCTTTTCTTCTTCTCTCCGATGCCCAGCACACCTGCTATTGCCAGGAATACTCACTCTCCTTGGTTGGCTCCGGGCCAGGGAGATGTCCCTCTCCTGTCCTTGTGGTGTGGGGCTTGGGTGTGCATCTGTGCTGTTACTTTATCTTATTCTGCATTGTAACATAGCTACTCATTTTGTAGTACTTTTCTTGAGGACAGGGCATGTGTCCTATTCCTTTTTGGCTTCCCTGAGCATCTGGTGTGTGTTTAGCAAAGACTGAGCTGCTGAAATGGACTCAGACAGTCGATCATTCTTCATTGCTCTCTGCTGGCTGTGTACACAGTACTCTGTTGGGCAGTGGTAGGAAGTAGGATGTGGCTTGCTTGTCCTCGCCGAGGCACTTAACATCTTTGCAGAGGGAGCAGGCACAGCCGACTCTGTGGCAGAAGGTTTGCATTCAGAGCTTGGATAGGAGGGTCCCAGTGGGCAAGGCTAGGAAGATTTCCTGCTTGACCAGGAAGGGCTGAAGCCCCAGACCTTGCACTGCACCCAGCCTGCTGCTCTGGTCAAAAACCTCTTGGCAGTAGAAACAGAGACACTCTCCCATGGGTTCCCAATGGATTTATTTGCTAATTGGGCTTTACATCTAAAGAAATCATTTCATCCTTTAATACTGCATGAATCTCACTTTTTGTTTTGCAAGGCTATACACAATATGCCAGTGAGATGTGAACTTACACTACAATCGTTATGCCACTAATGATCTTCCAAACACCAATAATACCCTACATGCTCTGTTTCTCTGTGCTTCCAAACCTGTCAGTGAGTTCTCAGGCCATCAACCTTCCTGACACAAGAGCAGCCCCCCACCCCCATGCCTGCCCACCCCCAACATCCCCCATCATTCAGTGATTTCATTTCTGAATCACTTGCTGTCTGGAGACCCCCAATTCCTTTACTCCTACTCTTTTTATGTGGTGGACAATACTTTATTCGGAAATGTTCCTCCTGTAATTACAGATCTTGTTAGCCCTCCTCCTCCTCCTCCTCCCCCCGGGGGGATTGTGGACTTTAATTAATTAATGTGGTTAAACTGCTCTGAGGTGCCTAGTTGAAAGGTGCTATATAAGTGCAAATTATTATTATTATGGTTGTTGACATCCCTTGGTGGCAAATCCCTCAGCCCCACACATCAGAGCTCTGAACAAAAGCTTCTTCACCTACACCTTCTCTGCTAGGTCTAAAATCCCAGCTCAATGGTCTAGGAGCAAGTCTGTTACCATCTCAACACCAATCAACTAATTAATCCCCATTATGTTGGCTTCCGTTTCCTTCTTCCAAGCTGCGAGATCCTGCTTCATTGCACAAATCGTGCCCCCAGCAGCTGTAGACAAAGGTCACAGTATCTTATGGCCTCTGTTGGCCTAAAAGGAAAAAGAAAGAATGACTGAAAGACTGATCATAAAATGCACCAACCTCTCACCAGCCATCTAAATGAAACTCTGCTTCAGCTGCAGGTGCCTCCCACATCTGTCACCCATGCAGCCCATGGCCTTGCACACAGCAGACACGCAGAAACACAGTGCAGGCTGGGGGGGGGGTGTCCTGCAGTACTGATGGCAGAGTTACAGACAAAGGGGAAGTCTATCTGCACTGGGTAGGCAGGGTCACTCAGTACAGGCTGAGATGGGGTCCTGCAGCATGATGGCAGAGAGCTACAAAGGGGGAGTCTAGCTGCACTGGGTAGGCAGGGTCACTCAGTACAGGCTGAGATGGGGTCCTGCAGCAGAGAGCTACAAAGGGGGAGTCTAGCTGCACTGGGTAGGCAGGGTCACTCAGAGACACAGGAGTCCCTTGCTGGCTTTTTCTGCATCCCCCAAGTTTCCCCTGAGAAAGCCAGCTGCCATCTGTAGCCAGGAAGCCCTCACAAAGGCTGGGACAGTGATTTAGATGTTTTGTGCTACACCTAGCACGCCACAGCCCTCCACAAATGCCCAGTACTTCCACTATGATGATGGCCATTGAAAGCAGCCCTGTGGGGGAGGCCTGGCCTCTCCTAGGGACACTGCTGACCAAAACACTCCTTACAAGGTTGCCCTCGGCCCCTTTGTTAGCAAGGCTGCGGGAGAGCCTCAGGGGGTCGTGTCTTCATCTGCCTTCATTTATCCTCAGCATTGAAGGGCTCCTTCAGGACATCGGTCAGTCTCTGTGGGAAATGATTTGGAGAACAACAAAAGAACTCGGGCCCTTTGGGGGAGCCTTCAGAATTCAGTAAACATCTGGACACGGAAGGCCAGGTTCTCAAGCCGTCTAGCTGGGGAGGTGTCAAAAGACAGAAAGAGCTGTGTGTGCAGCACAAGCCCTCAGTTCTGTGGAGACGCTTGTTGTCCAAAGACACAGAGCCCAGTAGGTGGATAGCAAGATTTTTCACAAGCTCTTCTGTTCGTCACTTTTTGTGAATGCAGGTCACCATTTGTCGGTTCTTGTGGCATGTGGGAGGAAATGGCAGTGTCATGTGGGCGGCGTGTGATGGGTGTTGGGATTCTGTGTGTACTGGGAATAACTCAGGTGGCCCAAGTCTGCACTGGGCATTGTTAAGAGCATTTCATGCAAGGCGACTTCCCAGACTCACAGAAAGGACAGCGAACACTAAAGGAGGACTGATCTGCTCTTCATCACACAGGGAGTTTGGGGACCTGAACTCTGGGCTCCCAATGTCCCCTGTATTGTTGAGTCTGTCCATTTAGAACCCATTAGTCAGCATGATTCAACATTCATCACTCACCAGCATTGGTGACAGAACTAATCAGCATTCCCCAGTGTCCCTGAGTCTATCCTCAGGCAGCAAAAGAAGCTGGCCTGTCAAGGGACAATGGAATGCAGCTTTTGCCAGCAGTCAGAGGCTGCTTCCAGCTCCAGTTCTAGCTGGAAGGCACCTATCCCCCTCATCTGTCCAAGTCTGACTGTTGGAACATCCAAAGCAGGTGTCACACGTCGGTTTTGACATAACTTCTTTAACTACACTTTCCTAAGTAGATACTGTGCTCCTAGCCGGGTGGGACCTTTTGGCCTCCCAGTTTCATATTCCCTGAGCCCTGAGCACCATCCTTTACAAACAATAGATGCTTGAGAAATATTGGACTGAACTGAACTCACTCACACGGACTTAAGTCATATTCCAGAAAAAAATCTCAAGTCTTTTTGGAAGAACTCTTTGGAGAAAACCAACAACCTGAAGTGATTTAACATCTTTCAGTATTATTACCTGGGCATTTTCACAAATGCAGACTATAAACTCTGCCAATGACTTGCAGGTCCTAAAAGACAATGTGCATCCAGCCTGGATCGAAAGTCCAGGTTTTGCTCTGTAACCTTATTTCAACTGAAATTTTCTATCCATCTATCTTTCTTTTTTTTTAAAATGGGAGTAGGAAAAAATATTTTGGAAAAACTGCATTTAGCCAGTGACTTTGGACCCAAGTCCATGCCCTGCTTTGTGAGTGTATAACACTCACTCGAATTTTGTTCTTCAATACTGCATAACAGCAAAACATGCTAAAGTGTTTCCCACTTGAGAGAAATTCTGTCTTGGGCAGGGCAAGAGGATACAATTTTGGGGTGCTAAGGGTTGGTGGAGTAGCTTACTGTGATATCCTAGTCCTCTTTGCTCTAGACTCTGGATCCAAAGAGGGTCCTGAGAGCATTTCTAACAAACCAAATATTTATAATATTTCAAGAATATAACTGTATTAGGCCAGAGCCCAGCCCTGGGGTATGCACTAATGTATCATAGGAAGTAATCTCTGAAGCCAGGCCCTTAGGAAAGGGCTGACTATTCATTTTCCCTCTTTCTCTAGAGGTCACAGAACCCCCCAAATTTATCTGGGTACTTGGCCACTTAGATTAATATATGCCACAGACACTCTCGACATATAGTTACATGTTTGTTCTATGATGTAAGCAGAAATCAAGTGTGTAAACTTCTGGTTAACATCCTTATAGGAAGAGGGATGATTTTCCTTCCATCATTCCCTGTCTGACACAGCTCCTGCTACCTGGATGGAACATGATGTTGAGCCATTTGGACCATGTCACAGCAATAAGCCAATACTTCAGTCCCTGGATAGCCAAGTTGCCATGCCAGCTCTGGGCCACATTCCTCTGCAGTGTTACGTGAGGAAGCAGTGAACCTTTATCTTGGACACTACCTTACCTTAAGCAGTGGTTATACCCAGTCAAGCTTATAACCCAACTGCTCAGGGAATTTCTATGATCATTATATCAGTGTGCCTGACCCATTTTAGCTTAGAATTTCAGGATTCAATATTCAGAACAGGCCTGGAATATGTCATCAAGGTCCATGTAGTCTAAGAACTAAATGGCTACAGGGGCTGCCATAATAGAAGAGGGGGAGGCCCAAACCCATTTATGATTTTCTAAAGTCTTAGACCTCTCTACCTACTTGTAAAGGGCTACAAACTCAACTGTGAGGCTTCAGTTCAGCTTTTTTGGGACTCTGTTTTTTCACATGAAGATCAAGGTGATAAACTTGCATGTATACAGTCACCGTTAGGAACAGTAAGATGCTTTTTACCAGTAATTGTCCAAGTATGTGCATAAAGCTCACACACTGTGCAGAAGACCTGTTCAGGGTATATGGCAAGCTTATACCACAAAAGCAGACACACAAGAGGCATCCATAAAAGCTGCATGCAAAGATGAACCACAGCAACATGATAACAAACTCATAATTATGCAGAGTTGCATAGAAATAAGTCCACTACTTCTAGAGAAAGTGTACATTGGTAAATTTCTTTGGAGAGAAATTTGGGAATGTATAAAGACAAAAATGTGCATACCTTCAGATTAATTCATTCAATTGTGATATATTCCTAGAGAAACGCTCATGCCTGCCAACCAAAAGATAAGTATAGAGCAACTCATTGTTACATCTAACCAAAATTCCCATAAATAGGGCAGTAGATAACATGATATAGTCATACAAAGGATGTGGATACTTGATGTAAAGTGAAAAAAATCTGATCAATGTGTATCAATGGAGACAAAGTATAAAAACATGTTAAATAACAAAAGCAAGTTGTAAAATTATGTGTATGGGGCCAGGATGTAGCTCAGTGGCACAGTACTTGCCTGGCAAATGCAGGGTCCTGAGTTTGATTCCTGGTACAAAAAAATTATGTGTATGATAAGCCATATACACAAATTTTAGAACACACCCAAGATAAATCACATATGAATTCACTGATAGGACAGGAAGGAAATATACCAAATTTATGGAGAACTTTTACTTTTGCAGAGGAGTGTTGAGGTGAGGAGGGACTGGACCAGGAGTAGGCACAAGTGAGGACTGAGCTTTGTTAAGTTTTAGTCTTGTATTTAAAGAGTCTGAGAACAACTGGACTAGTTTTTAAATATTTGTTAATTTTAGGTGGTAGATTCTTGTAAAGTTCATGCTTTATAATTTTCTGTACTGTTTATATTAATGACATTATAAAGGCTGGGGTGTACCTCAGAGGTAGTTTGTCAGCATTTCACAAACAAATAAACAAACAAACAAGCCAAATAGGTAACAAAATAAGGCAAAGGGCCAGTGTAGGATGATGTCATAGAGGAAGAAGAGGTAAAGTGAATGTCAAAAGAGGAGAACACTGGGCAGATGGAATTCTTCCTCATTCGCCCTGGGACGCCCCATACCGAGAGTCCTAGAGGAGCTTTCTGAGGCTGTAGTAGCACTTGGCAGGCTAGGGACAATGTGACAGGCAGGCTCTGTCTTCTTCTCCACCACCTCTGGGAGGAGTTTGTACTCTCTTTGCTCTCAAATCCAGGGCTCTCTGCCCAGACTCCCACAAGAATGCCAGGCTGTGCCAGGTGGGTGGGTGGTACTCAGTGTGCAGATGCCACCGCACCTGGTAGGAAATGGATCAAGAACCTTCTGGGTCACTTTGAGTCTACCAGGCAAAAAATATTTAGATGGGCTACTGATTCCAATTGAAATCTGATGAGCTCAGATAGTGGTATTTGGGAGAAAAGAATTTTTCAATAAATCATCCAGTTGGCTAGGTGGCTGAGAAAATGGAGGGGAAGAATTTAACCCAAGCTCCTGACAAGGGAAAAACTAGGGGAGATTAATGCCTTTCTTGATATGCTTCAAAAGGTGACCAACTAAACCATTCTTCATGATAAAAGCAAAGTCAAAAAAGGACACAGCTTTCCAGTTCTTAAAAAACAAAACAAAACACTGTCTTCTTGTTCCTTCTTCTTAGTTTCCTACACAAACTAGTTGAAGAAACAGGAATTTAGCTTTGTCTGGCACCTTTGGACCAATGTCAGGGTGCCCTGGGCTCCTCTGAAGTTTCACAGCACACTCCAAAAGTTTATGCTGTTCATCAAATCCAAACTAGTAGAAGACAGCATCTGAATCTAAATATGAGCAGTTGTATCAGATCCTGATTCTGTAGAAACAAATATAGGAAACACTTCCTTCATCCTGCTCAAAACAACTAGGTTTTCTGTTTTCCCAAGTGTTCTCTACATTCCTGAAAAAAGAACTGTAGGCAGAGGAGTGAAAAGAGTGGCCCTGCTGGTCCAGCCTCTCTACTCTTGGGGCTGGTCCCTTCCACAGGAGCTACTTCACTGATCCCACAGACCCCAAGAATACTGGGACGGCTCCAGGAAGGCCTGGGCCTGGCTTCCCAGAGGTCCCTGCGACCTTAGCAATAGGGCCTGATTGCTTACAGTGTCCTAGTCCCAGCTGGGATCTGGATGGCACATTTGGGGTTGGCTAAAGAAACAAAGGTCAGAATCCAAGCAGATGTGGGCTGATTTGGAGTGTACTGGAATCCACCTTTCAGCAGCCAAGAGCCTTGGGGCCTACACAGTACAGCTGATTTGCATAGTTTTCTCTTGTTATCAGTTCCCAGCGCCCTCGTCCTCACTCAGGCAGCCAGTCCTCTGTGTTCTCCCATTTGTTAGGCCCCTGGGCCTTCCTTGGGGGATAAAAGGAAAAAGGATTCAAGACTCCTGACCAACCCTCACCCTCCCACTGCAGCCACACCAAGGCTGCATCTACCTCTGGCCCACTCTTAGAGGCCCAACCCTCAGGAAGCTGGAGGCTGCTGTGAGTGCCCTCCAGGGACCAAGCATTTCCAGGGCCCAGGGCCCAGCAAGGCAGCCCAGGGCCCTAGAAAACCAGGCAGACAAAGAAGATGCAAATGGTTGGCATTATCATGTTAATAGTCTGAGGCCTCTGGAAGATTCTGGGAGGATGTGTTTTCTTTCTCTCTCTCTCTCTCTCTCTCTCTCTCTCTCTCTCTCTCTCTCTCTCTCTTTCTCTCCTTTTTTTTTTTTTATTTTGCAAAAGGAAAATAATTCTGCTTCCTATTTTACTACAACAATAGCACGGACTGGCTCCTTCATGTGTTTTTAAAAAAATGTCCCGAGAAGCGCCTAAGCAGCCCTCGTCTCCCCAGCCCTCTACTGCATTGTCCCTCCTACCCCGGTGAACAATGGGGAGGGAAGGGTATTGGCCCCCAGTCGCCTAGTGATCTCAGCCTCCAGATCCTTGATAACCGGTGGGGGGATGGCCTGTGGAGCCGGGCTGTGGCATCTGGCCCTCACTTTCTATTCCTTCCCTCTGCTGGCGCACACGGAGCCACAGGTATTAGAAAACCCCCCTGGGTGGTGGGCTAGGAGGAGCCTTGGGGTCTTAATAGATAGAAGGCCTTGAGGCTCATTCCCGCATTCACTGCCTGCCCCCGCCCGGCTTCCTCAGAGCTGGCTCTCAGGCCACAGGGGCAGCTGATGTCTCTTAGGTGGAAGCACCCCTCACACACCCTGTCTATGTGCCCCTAGTACATAGGCTGCGCTTTGCACCCAGAGCTCCTGGTGCCATTTCTGCACCGAGCTGGAGCTGTTATGCCCCCATGACCCCTCAGTGTTTGGCCTTGGCTGCTGCTACCTTTCCAAGTTTACCATTCAGGAAGCAAGGGTTTCTTTGGTTTAAACCGGGGGAATTATACAGGTGTCTTTCACCTCAGTGATCTGGTAAGAACAGGAAAAAATAAGCTTTTGTGTGAGAGCAGGTACATAAATGATAAGTATCTCACCTCCCAGGAGAATCAGACAAACTAAAGTGATATCACCCAAGCAGGTTACTGCAATCCAAGTAAGAAAACACCACACTGCCACACCCCTACACAAAGCCTTAACATGCATACATCCACACATCCACAAAAAATCACACCCACACAATCATGTATTTCATGACAGAATCAGAAGTTTTCTATTTTCCTTTCCACCCCCCACCCCTTCCCAAATGCCGGTTGTGACTCATCAATTTGATTTCATGACCCAGGAATGGGTTGCAGTCCAGTTTTCCAAGCCTTGAACCAGCATTTTCATTTTCAAGCAGACAAAACGAGAGTCCCAGAGATTTTCTCAAGATTAAGGAAAGCTGGAACTGAAATCCAAAGTTTCTATTCAATAAAAGGGGCTCTCATTTTTCTGGGCAGCAAGACTCCTGCTTTGCCTCAGGGATCGGTGGGGCACATAGCTGGGATGCTAACAGGTTTGTAAGTCAGTGGCGCAGCTGATGGCAGCAGAAAGGTCCTAGGCCTCTGGGCCTCAGAGAAGGAAGAGTACTTCAGGGAGTGGGACAGGAAAGCAGCTTAGAAAACAGCCAGGTGAGGTTCTGAGGGCTCCCAGCCGCGGACATTCGCTGCTTGGGGAACTTGGATCCCAAGAGATTCTCCTTAATACTTTCTTTCCTGGCCCCATTGCTCCAGATCAGTTCCCTTTAGTAAATGACTCTATCCTCCATTTTTCAACTTTTTCTTTTAGTCTTTCCTTACAGTTTTTTTTTTTTTAAACCCTCTATCAGTATTCCCAGTTTTTATTTTCCCAAAACAATGTCATCTTCCTTGTCAAAATCTTGATCTTAGCAATGAATATCAGGGACGCAGCCCAGTGAACCTGGTTCATACCAATTTGTCCAAAGTTATCCCCACTTGACCAGGATTAGAAATGCTGGTCATCAAGGCACAAAACATTCTAGCAAGGCTTTCAACACAAGCCCACTGGGCAGAACTGATTCTTTTCCTCTTGAATTTATTTTGTAATTTTCCATAGAATTTCTTGAAAACTTCATCTCCATTTGTTATTTACTAGACTTCTAATCTTTTAAGACTGCCTCTAAAAATGAAGAACTCAGAGCCACACCATGCACACTGGGTAAATAAGACCGAGCCTTCTGATTGCTTCTTAGTCATACACCCTTAAAGTACATGTAACAAAGGGGCCTGCTGTTTGCTTTGCTTAATCTGGTCTTAAAATCTCTGCTTCTTTGTCAGAAAACAATATTTGCAATTGTAAAAAAAAAAATATTTACCAAGGAACTTGGATAGCATGAGCCAGAGGCTAAGAGCCAAAGGTCAGTAGTTCTTACCCCAAATTTCTGTGGCCCTCTGGAGTCCCTGCTGTGGAGCTCAGCTGCACCAAACAAACATGCTGCTTCGAGTCCATTGAGAAGCAGGTATTTTAGAGGAGGAAGGGAAGGAAGGGCTGCCATAGCCCCTCTCAACCTGCCTGCAGAATCCCACTCCATTTTTGCAGTACAGTGTGCCTCCGTGAGGACAGTGCCAGGGCTGCCTTGTTTCAAAAACGTGGAGATACTGACAAAGTCCTGAAGGGCACACACTCCTCCACGGACAGCAACGGCAGTACAGCAGGGCCTTGGTTCATGAACTTAATTTATTTTATGATTTTGGGAAGATGACCATGTTTTGTCACCTGATGTGGAGTTTGTGAAAGGAAGCAAAATTCTGTTGCCTTTGTTTGAGAACTGAATTGCTTGCAAACAGAAGTGTTCATGGCCTGAGGTATTATTGTGCCACTCGTCTGTGACTCAGGCTAGGTATTTACCTATGCGTCTGGTGGGTGAGGCTGCCTGCCCGATGCTTGAGAAGACGGAAGTGTATCCTGAGCACTTCTTCATTCACAAAGTGGCTTTGCACATCCAGTCCCAGGGGCTGAGTCTTCTGAGCTCAATGGTGTCCTAGTTTAACCCTTCACATTCACTGTTTTGTGGAAAGACCTGGGATTAGATGCCTTTCCTACTCACCAGAGGACCCAGCATCTGGGAATGAGCCCCCACTGTGGATCAGTGAGTTCCAGGCTGTAGCCCTGGGCTACCTCAATTCCGTGCATGTTCCCTGCCCATGTCACAAGGGGTGGGTCAGCAAGCAAGGGATATGCCAGCATAAAGGGTCTGGTGGGACTTGAACACAGGGCATGGAAATAGAGTAGCCACAGGGAAGCCTGAGCAAAGGAGCTCTTGGAACCAGGCCACAGTGACTCACAGGCCACCAACCCAGATAGGCTGCAGCTTGGGAAGCGAGTGGCTCCTTGAACTGGAGTTCAGAGGCCAACTGCTCCGACTAGTCTCCTGCAGAATTCAGGAAGGATTCGGGAAGAAGACCAGTGGCGACCGTTCCTAGCTTCCTTGTTTCAATGCTCATTTTTTGGTTGGCCCACTCTGCTAGGAAGTCCTACAGTTCTCCCTCAATCATATCTCCAACTTGTATCAAATTCTTGCCACAGATGCCAGTCTCCTGACCTTCGCAGAGCAAGTCCTGAAATAGCTTCTAAAATGACCGCAGTGGGAGCTGCAGCAGCAACGGGCAGCACTGAGAACAATCAATGTAAAGAAAAGGCTCACTGTAAGGATCTTACCTTCAAGAACCAGGCCCTCTGCCTTGATGGTGTAGACAAATGAGGTGAAGGGAGCCAGCGGGGACTTGGCGATGAGAATCTGCAGAGAGCACAACATTCTAGAGTGAGACCTGGGATCAGGTGCAAGCCTCTATTGCCCCCCCTTCCTGCCTTGACAGATGGTAACGCATGGCTACAGGTTATAAGGCTGATTATCAAAAGCATATATTATTATTATTATTATTATTATTATTATTATTATTATTATTGGCAGAACCAGGGATTGAACTCAGACCCTTGTGTTTGCCAGGGAAGCACTTATTCCACTGAGCCAACTCCCCAGTCCCAAAAAGCATATTTTTAAAGAAATATTCAAATGTGTGTTATCATTTCAAAGTGGCCACTTTGGGAGGACAACTATTACCAATATTCTGTCAACAAATGCCATATTCTTTGACCAGTTCTTTCAGAAACAAGACATTATCTACGTAACATAATTAGCTATATTTCTGCTCAAAGAGAAGGCTAGCCTGATTCTTTGATTGTATTCATAAACTTGGCTCTTCAAAAAAATTTTCAAAGCTATCCTTAAAATATTTACCATCACGGCAAACATTCAAAATAATGGTCTAGAAGCAAAACAATAGTAAGCTGCTTTATAGACACTGGTCCCTCAGCAAGTCTGTGCTTACATTTTTCCTTGCAGTTTTTTTTTTTTTTTTTTTTTTTTTTTTTCAGAAGTTTTCTCAGTCCCTTTTTTTTATTTTTTGTTGGGTCCTTGCCTGGTTTGGC